TAGCAAAGGCAGAAGGAGCCACCTTGCCCCCTTTCCCGCGTCGTTGGCCGCCTCTGAAGGGCTGGCAGCGGGGTCAGGCCGGCCGGCCACCCTCCGGCGGCCCACATGCTCTTTGCCCCCGGGCCGTGCCTGGGTTCAGATATCTGTACAAACCGGCACGGGGAGTTAGCTGCCAGGACGCGGATTCAAAGCGTGTGCTCTTCTGGATCTGTCTCGGAAATGGACGTGAGGACTCGAAGGTGCCTCACGAATGACACACGAACCCACGAGGCAGGTGGCTTTGGGCCAGCCCCTCTCTCAGTCTCACTGACCTCACGGGGCTGTGGCGAGGATGAATGGGCAGTGGGGGGGGGACCGTGGACAAAAGGAGCGCAGATGTCTCAAATAAATGCAGTACACGGAAGTGATTGCAATGGTCTTGACCGAGAACGGTTCTGATCTTCAGGTGCCTCCCCCACCGTGGGCTTGCCGTTTCAACGTTTTGTTCCTGCAAGATGCGCCGCTTCAGGTCTCAGCCTGCCCTCCTTCCCTCCCTTTCCCAAACCTCTCGAAATGGAGAGGGAACGTGCGTATGTGTGAGAGAGAATATTCATGTACCTTGTCAAGGGGCACACACATGCTCGGACATGAACCGTGAGGCCTCAGGTACCGCATAGCTTACTGTGTAACAAGCTGCGCCGGGTGAGGTTCGTTTCGTGCCGGCCCCGCCACATGCCGGGAGAACAGTGCGCTTTGGCTAATATCACATGAACTGAAAGGAACAAGCTGAGCGGTCCCGCAGCCGTCTGTGCTCTGAGGACGGCTGCATTAGAAGTACCGAGAAAAGGTTCTTTCTCTTCTGACAGACATGCCAGGTTGCTAGCATCCACCTGGAAGGAGATATTATCCACCTATATTATCCATCTATATTACCTTCAGAACAGTGTGGGGCAGGGCAAACAGCCTCATTTTTCGGGGACAACTTCTTTAGACTTGAAACCACCCAATGCAACTCCTACCCCGTTTGCAGTTTCCGGAATGCACTTAGGAAGTCTGCTGTTCCTGGAATTGTGGAGTTTTGATTTCGTCTGGGTTGGCAGATATCCTCTTTCTGTCAGGCATGACTAGAACAGCAGGAAGGACAAGATATTTTGGCACCCACCATCTGACCCATGTTTCCTTCCACTTATGAGTAGAGCAGAAAAAGTCCCAAGGGACTTTCAGGGGACCTTGGCGACAGTAAAAACCTCGGCTGTACTTGAGATTTGCCGCTAGATGCTCAGCTTGCTGGCTTTTGGGTTAATATTGTCTGTAGTATTAATTATGGAGCACCTTCGAGCTTAAGAGCTTTTTATGGAGTAACAAGTGGGCAGAGATCCCTGCCCCGAGGAGATTCCTTTCTAAAATCTAGGATAACAAATGCAGGGGAGAAGGAAGCTGGTGAGGAGGGTATCCACAGGAGCACAGACTTTCGGTTACACAAATGGACCCAGATTTAAGAGAGGTGGTCTAAGGGATTATGCCAAAGGCTTCCAGCAAAAACATACATTTTTGAGGGGGGAATTGAAGGAAAACTGAGAAAACCGGGTGCAGAAATTCTCTTTTTAACAGATATCATGCACACAGCCCTAAAAAACATACCATCCCCTTTGATTCTTGTGCAGCTTCTCCTGAGATTCAAGTTGGCAGCGAAAAGGAGCTGAGTCTTTTGTGCTTCTCAGTTCACTCCTGCAAGATGCTGGTCGAGCTCTTTCCTTAATTGTCTTCTGAAGAGCAACAAAGATTTTTTTTTCCAGAAAGAATTTGAAGAGAAGATACATTAAAAGTGCACCAGATATATTTAGTCAAACCTATGCCTTGCAAAAACAGATGCAACTTCTCCCTATTTAGGATTCTCCTCTCCAAAGCATTCATCTTTCAGAGCAGCAGAACCCTCCAAATATTTTTAAGGGAAAACACACTTTAGCCTTCCTTTCCTATTTTAAAAGGAGATTGTGCAGGCAACATACGTGTCCAAACAGGCGCGAGTGGCAGCGCGCTCTTGGCTTTCGTGGAAGGATAAACTAAGTTCTGAGCATTCCGAACACTGGAAAATGCTAAAGAACTCATGGTGGACAGGCTTGGTGACAAAAGTGGTGTTCTTGGGGTGCCAAAACTCAGCCCCCCCCCCTTCCTTTTCCACCCAAGGGTGCTTGCTTCAAAGTTTTTACAGCCTTCAATGGGGAGTGGAGAGAAGAGGAACAAACGCAGAGCTTGCCCTGGGCCAGGATGGAAGACTCTCTGTGCAAACCGGTCTTTCTAGCAGAACTCAGGATAGCCAAGGGGGGCGAACGGCACCAGCCGAGCATTAAGGAGCGAAGGAGTGTAGTTCTCAGGTTTTCTCTGGGGTCCTAATATGTCCTCCACCCTCTAAAGGAGAAAGAGCAAAGGAAACAAGGCATCGTAATTCCACAGGCATTTTCCTAAAGCTTTCTAAAAAGGCAACTGCCAAAGACAAGCAGAAGCTTGCATGGGTAATTCCTGAAGTGGGACTAAAACAGGCTTGGTGTATTTTGCGCTAATAAATAAATAAATATCCTACATCAAGCGATTTGGAACAGTTTACTCAAAATTTTACTCATCATCAAAAAAGGAAGGCATTTTGCTGTGTCCTGATCTCATTGTGCTCCCCGACTCCCAGCTGCCCTGCCCAAACTACTCCAGACTTCCAGAAAGCATGAGCCTCGCATTTTTAGACATGCCTTTCCAGCCATAAAAAAGAGTTGAGATTTTCAGAAAGTTTAATTCTGCAGCCAATGTCACATTCCACAAAGTTGCACCATACGAGGGCTCAAAGCAGACGTTTCTCAAAAGCTCTACAATGCAGGGAAAGGTGGCAGTGGAAAACGGGGAAAGGAAGCATCCTAGCAGAATATTAACCTCCTGATGCATCTTGTTGGTCATTAGTTTGTATGTCCTATCCAGGGTCATAGGGTCTTACACCAAAGCTACATCAGACTAAGCAGGAACTACAGTTTGAAGACCTTAATGGCACGACAGCATCTCGGTCATACTGGACACAACACACAGTCGTGTTTCAAACAGCCCTCTATTTTCAGAGTTTGTACAGCGAAACTTTGTTCCATCAGCAAACCAGGGCCCCAAATTTCCCAAGCGTATGGCAGCCAACTGTTTTTTTTAATGGTCAATTAATATATTTGCGTACTAGCTTCAAGCCAAACCCAAGCTGAGCCCAATACAGAGCACAAATCAGGCAGTCGAGTTTGCAGAAAAGTTTGGCCAGCATTTTTAACTTGCCATATGTTCCTTATTGAGTATTGAGGGAAATGAAACCCCGCCATCCCTTCACTTGCAGGGTTGGCAAGTGTGGATGCCCGAAATAGTGAAGCTTGTGAGATCAAGAAGCCCTTGAAAGTGGCCAGAGCACACCCTGGCTCTCCCATCTTGTTACCATACTGTTAGTGATGTGCAGTGTTATGATCAAAGATCAACCAAACGAGATCTCTGTGTGACTCCTGGCAAGTCTGGTCATTTTCTTTTGTTGTTGGAATTACACGAGTCTCCAAATGGGAAAAGACAACAGCAAGTTTTGGCTCAGTGCAAAGCATTGGCCAATTCGTAAGGTAAGCTCGCAGATGTGAGTCCATCATCTCAGCAGATTTTCTTCCGTGCTGAAGTTTCTGCAATGAGTTTTTAAAAAAATTGGAAATATTTAACCTGAAAGACCTTCTCTGAACTCCACACACCACTTTCTTTCAAGCTTCAGCTCTCTCAAGGTCTTCCGTGAATGAAGATGCCAGCTCTTTTCATGGAGATTTGAACGTTTTTAAACTGGGGTGCAGAAAAGGAGGCAGGTCACAGGGCATGTCCAGGCTGTGGGGGTTGGAGAGCACTCGGTATGTTATTTGTATGTAGTAAAAAAGAAGGGTATTGCTAAAGAGGGCAGAGTGGGAGGTTTCTTTAAGCTTTGGTGCCTGGCCTCGGATCAGTCGCATGGCCATGGCAGCAGCTTTTTAAAACTCTTGCAAAGTTCAGAGGGCTGCTGTACTGAGCCGCTGTGTTATCGCTGCACATCAAAACCTGAGCAAATTTTTTTTCCTTTGAGCTGCACTTTGGAGAAAAATGTGATTAATAAATTAAAGCAATTGGAGAGAAATTTAGAGCAGAGTCTCAATCACCTGAATAGGAAATGAACCGATCCGAATATTTTAGGGCTGGGCCAGACATTAAAAATTCAAGTTGGGGTTCCATGGTTGAGAAATTATTGCTGCAAAATGTAAATGCTAGTGATTTAAAAGTTCACGCCCACCTAATCGATACAAGGTTTATGCAGTGCTATCTCTGGACCAGGGTCTCAAAAACACCCTGGCAGAGACCTGTAAAATACTAACCTCCTCACACCATACAAGTTTAACAAACAGGGTTATCTTCGTGTTAGTTGCCTTGTGCTCTAGGCAGAAAACACAAGTTTCGACTTGTTAAAAAAAACACAGAAGCAAGCAACTGTTGAGCCCTTTTCAAAGCACTTTTGATACACAAAGAGAGGAAAATAAGAACATAGCAACAATTATTTTTTCAGGCAGGTTTACAGAATTTGAGGGAAGAGGTTAGCTATCTAGGTCAAGGAACTCTGTGCATTGATGGATTTGAAACGAAGGCCTCTGCACACAGGACTGCAATTTATACAACTAATACAACTGCAGAAAAGAATATGGGAGTGCAGAAATTTAGGTTCAAGGACCTCAGCTTTCATTGTGTGAACAAGAATGCCTGCTAGGCTTGTAAAGAAAGGAAGAAATAAATGTGCAGGGCTGGAGAGGCATTTATAAATTTGCAAGCAAGGAAAAATTCTGCATATACCCATCACTGAATTGAGGTTTCCTTAATGGAGTCCTAGCTGCAGAATGTCATGAAGCTAATATATCGGCAGTACCAATCCAAGAGTACAACAAACTATTCAACAGAACTTTCCATCAGTCCTTTAAGATTCTCTGCTCTTAAAAAAAGAAAACACCAAGTTATGAAATCTCAAAACCCTTTATTGGTTTTTTTTACATTCTTAAAATGAGACACCCCCATTTCTTTGATATGTACAAAGAATCTGAATAAGGCTGTATAAAAAAACCCCGCAAGCAGGTCACTGCTCCATGTTTACTCCACAGACAGCAGCTTCGGATCCAGCCAACAGCATCTCGCTTGTTTGCTTGTGTTTGTTTGACAAAAACACACCTCTCTCTCTCTCTCCTGCTGGGAACTGGAAAATTTATTTCCTGCGCAAGTGGAGAGCAGCTGAAACGGCAGATACGCCTGTCCTGAACTGGGGCACAACCGGGAGGTACACAGATGTGTCGCGAAGGGATTCCTGCTTTGATTTGCAAAGGCACCGTCACCTTGCCCGCTATTCCCCCCCCCCTTCCTTCTTCAGATGGAGGTGGGGGAGCGCCGAATGCTCCCTTTCTGGGTAGCGAAGAGGAGTGATTCAGGGAGGTGGTGGAGCAGTGCCTTTGTTTCGTTGGGGAGGGGGCGAGGGGCAAGGAAGAGGATGGGTTTCATGGGACAACAGTAGTGAAGAGCGAGCGAGAAAGGAGTGCCCATTCCCTGCTCGTGTTCCCTTGGAAACAGTACTTCAACAGGCACTTATAGGACCCTTCAGACCCCCAACCCCAGACAGGCCCACTTTTTTTGGTTACATAATGCAATGTATTATGAAGGGGCTTCTTTGGAGGGCAGAGGGAGGGGATGGAAGGAAAAAACCCTCTCCAGCCACACTCTTGATCAAAGGTTCCACAAAGACATCCACTTACAATCCGTAGGGGGAGAAGCAACACGAGGTGGCGATACGGTAAGACACCGCTTACAGAGTGGGTGGGCTTTAAAACAGAAGGGGGGTGTTAAGTGTCCCCCCACACACACACATCCACACTCACTCAGAGACGTAACATTCTTATAGTGCTATTCGGAGGGGAAAGTGAGATGGATGGGAATATATATGGCTAATTCTCTTTTCAATCCACGGGGGGACTGAAAAGTATATTGTGCTTAAGTTTGTCAAAACCGGGCGGAGACCACCTCTACAATCCCCCATAAAGGCAAAAAAAAAAAAAGGAGTGGAACTGATTTTTAAAAGTACTCCTTATTTCTGTGGGGTTTGTTCTTTTTTAATTAAAAAGGCCCTGGGGCTCTATACTTTAAAGGATTCCGAAATAGTGGGGGACAGGGTAAGAACCCTTACAAGTACAAATTGCCGTGGCATTATCAATGTTTAGAAATCCCCCCACCCGCACAAAGAGTTTATATATATATTTATATTTATATATGTATATAGACAAGTAAAAACTGTTCAATATTTTCCGCACCCCTAAATTTTTCTGGCTTCCAGAAAAGAAATAATAATAAAATTTACAGAGTTTGGGGAGAAACAGGGAAGAGGAGGGGAGGAAAACTGACAAAAGGTACAAAGATAAACTCTGAGTTAAGGCAGTAAAACCAGTCCCCTCTGCTCCCGTCCGTCCGTCCCAGGGAGGGAGGGGGCTGCACCCCCCAGCTTTAGGAGTCCCGGTTCTCAAGGGTCAGCTCGGCAGTGGCCCGCTGGAGCTCAGTGCTGATCCGCCGGCCCCCTACGCCCTCCGCGGGGCTGCTGGCGGGGTCCTCCCCTTTCACCTTCTTGTCGTCCGTCTCTTCGGCCCCCAGGCCCGCTTCCAGCCGCTGATCCTCGCTCCAGCGGCGTTTGAACCGCAGCTTGAGCGGGATGCACTGGCCGCTCTCCCCAGCCCGCGGCGCGGGGGGCGCCACGGCCCGCGTCTCCTCCTCCTCGGCCTTCCCGAGGGGCACAGGGGGGGCCTTGAAGACCTCCTCGTCGTCCTCGCTGATGTCTGTGACCTCCACGGTGAGGTCCTCCTCCGACTCGCCCTCCGAGATGGGCTCCACCTTGATCTGGGGCAGCGGGGGCTCCGCGGCTGCCGCGGCGGCGGAAGAGGAGGGCAGGCCGCCGCTGGGCTCTCCGGGGGGCACGGGCGGGGGCTGCTGCTTGTCTCGGTTGCGACGCCCCAGGGGCGGGGGCTGCAGCTTGAACTTGAATGGGGCGGGGGGCTCCTCGGCCTGTGGGGGCGGGGGGGGGGGGGGGGGCTTCTCCAGGCGCTGGGGCTGCGGGATGACGATGTTGGGGTAGTGCAGGAAGGCCCTGGGGCTGAGGTGGTAGTTGTAGACGCTCTGGGTGTGGGCCTGGAGGTAGCGCTTCATGTCCTCGGGGTTGAAGGAGAAGTGGGAGCCGCCCGGGTACATGGGGCTGAGGGTGGGCGAGGGCGTGTAGTTCACGTGGGTGGGGGTGAGCGGGAGGGCGGGCGACAGCTGGGGGGGCAGAAGGGCTGCGGGCCCAGCCATGGGGGACACGGGGAAGGGGCTGAGAGGCTCCGGGACCCGGGGGCGCGGGTAGACCCTGAAGAGGCTGTCGTGGGCCAGGCGGGGGTGGCTGGGCACCGGGGGGCCGCGGAAGCCGCCCACCTCCCCCCCGCCGCGCCGCTGCTCCTCGGCCAAGGACTCCTCCACCTCCGAGTTGGCCGAGGTCCCGTCGCTGCAGTCGCTGACCGAGCCGCGGGCCAGGCGGCGGGCCACGGCCGAGAAGACGCCGGGCGAACGCAGCTCCTCGGCCGGCGACAGGATGTCTGATGGCGTCGAGGGCGGGAAGCGGAAGTGGGAGCCCCCGGAGGGCACCGGCGGGGCGCTCTGGGGCACTGCCCCACCTGCAGGGGCGGGGAGGAGCAGTTAGGCACAGGCAACATTCTGGAGGGGGAAAGAGAATCATCAAGCGGCGCTAAGCTCACTGCTGCTTCCTATGACTATTATGGTATGTTGCACCTCCACAGTTGGAAATATCCCACTTCCACGGACCAGCTGCTGGGGAATGATCGCACTCACGTTCTTCCACGGGCTTTCCATGCGTATCCAGCAAGCTATGAATCAGAGAGGCCTTCGAAATGGCCCGGCAGTCTGGACTCCTCGTGCTCGTACTTGAGTGTTCAAGCGCTTTGCCCCTAATTCTAGCACTGAATTATTCAGCAGAAGCTTTCCCAAGACCAGCATAACCCGGGAATATCGCTCTGGGACGGCGGTGCTCAACCTCAGCCTTCCCAAGGCCACCAGCACATGCATTTCTCACGCTGCCCCTTTCCGCTGGCAACGGCAGGGACTGGGTTGCATGTGTGAAGGACACGGGTGAACCGTGGTGGCCGGCGATTCGGATGTTGTTCAAATGGGTTTGCCCCAGTCAGGAGAGCGAAGGCAGCCGAGCGCTGCACGCATCACGATATCCATGCGCGACTTCCAGTACCAAAGCACGTTGCCGGCACACGCGCGTTCCCGGGGGCCCAAGTGGGAGGCTAGTGTTGCGTTCTCGTTTTGCTCCTGGATTTTACAATCGGAACAGCAGCTCAGCCTAGATGGACCTTTGGTCTAATCCAACAGGCTCTCCTCAATTTCTTAACATGCACACTTTTGCAGAAATATTTGTCGATGCAGGCTGCACAACCTTCAGAGGCTTGTAAGCCGTCCAGAGACACACAGTGATTGGACCCCAAATAAATACAACAACAAGCAAGCCATCCCCCCATCCATCATACCAACCAAAGGAGGATGGGCTTCTGGGTCCTAAATAAAAACCCTGAGCCATGTTTATGAGCGGCCAGCACACCACCACCACAATATTGGGAAGGTGGTGCTCGTGCACGTGTAAAACACACACCCCCTCTATGGAGCCAGTCTCTATGTATTCTTCAGTGGTGCATCTAAGCTGCAGCTGCATTTAAGTTAAATTTTCTCTGCCACACTGCGTCAGAAGGTCAAGTTTGTTTGGGAAAAGGGTAGAAAGAGGATTGCCCACAGCAAACTTCAGATGTGAAAGATTCTTTAAGTCGAATGTGGCTCACCCTGAAGGGCACCGATCCTTAATGCAACCTCCCAAAATAACCTGCCCCATCTCCAGGCTCACCTGCCATACCCATGTCAATGAAGGGGTAGTTGACCAGGACCAGCTTGTTAAAGTTGAACTTGTAGGTGAAGCGTTTGCCCTTGGTCTTGTGTAGGATCCGCTTGTTGTAGTAGTACCTGAAGGACAATCCGGAAAGGGAGGGGAAGGAGATGTGGAAGATTAGTGACTCACAACTCCCACTAAACACCCACCACACAAATTCCTCATGCTCTGAGGTGGGTGGCTTGAGGAGGGTTGTTTTGCAGCCTCAGCAGTTATTAAACAGCACCTGCTCACATTGTGAAGGGACAAGTTTCTAGACCTTATGGCTGGGGGAAAAAAATGTATCACAGACTTGTGTGGTTGCCTGTGGGAACAATTTTCTCATATGGCTGATTTATACCACTGCAGCTGACACATGGAGTTACGCAATAACATTTGTTGTTGTGATTCGCAGCAAACGCATCTCTTCACAGGTGCAAGTACGCGTTTCATTTCCCATCCCTAACTGAATGAGTTTTTCTTCCCATTTTACAGACTGGGAAGTGAGGCCAAGACACAGTGACCTGCCCAGTCCCCTCCTCCTACAGCCAAGTGCCTAGGATCTGAAGACCTCTCCTTTACCCCCCATCCTCAGCTCCCTGAGCCCTGCCTCCCTGCTCAAGGGCGGGCAGGCAAACGGCGGCAACCGCACAGCCCCCGAAGGCAGCCCTGGTGGCTCACAGGCCCATGCAGGGCCATGCAGGTCTGCGGCTGCTTTGTCTCAAGAGACATAGGAAGTTGCTTTGTATCAGGTCAGACTCTGTCCATCTCACAGCATTCTGCCTGCCAGGGACCCGTGGCACTCCCTGGGGTCTCCAGCAGGGGTCTCTCCCTCCCATCACCAGGCTACCTGCTCTTTTTAAGCAGGGATGTGGGAGGGATCTGCCTGGGGAGGGTGGGGTCTTCCCTGTTTAAAGCGGGCTGTGACAAAGCCGCCCCCCACACACAGGTGCATCACAGCCGGCTTTAAAAACAGAAGTCACAACTTCTCACAATTCAGTCCATCTTCAGCCGTTGAGTCAGCAAGGTGCATCCAAGTCTGCTGAGCAGGAGCAGGTGGGCCCTTCTCTGTCGCCTCTCCCCGTTTTAACCTCGGAGACCAGGCACGGAACCAGGGATCAACTGCGTGCAAAGCAGGTGCTCTGCCAGGGGGTCGCAGTCCCTACCTCCTCTGCACAATGCCGGCCTTCCCGGGCCAGTGGTCTCCAGATGGACTGGCCTGCAGTCCAACACACTGCGGAGAGAGACCAGGAAGCCAAGATATCCTCCATCTGAACACCGCAGAACCACTGCCGATGCCAACCCGTGCCTCCACGTTACTTCTGGGGCGTGTAAATCCCAACTGCAAGTCTTGCTAGGGACAGTGGAAGAGAAGAACCCCAGGCCATGGCTGGCTGGGCTGTGCTTTAAGTATTTAAGAAGGGGCTGGGCTGGGCTGGGCTGGGCTGGGCGGCTGTCAGGAGCAGCACGAAGTGGGGGCGTGGATTAGACGACCGCTCAGGTCCTTGTGAACACTCATGATACTACAGTTATTTCCGACATGGGCTTTTAGAAAGGTCTCTAATCTCTAGAAGGAATATTTGTGTCTTTCCATGGATCAGTTGACTTAAGTGTACGAAGACAGGGTGCTGCCTTGTTACGAGTTAGGCCACTGGGTGAATCCGTGTCCCAACCTGGTGTCTCTCTTAAGAAACAGGAGTGGCCTACCTTGCTGGTTTGTTACACGGCGCTATCGCCCCCAGAAAACAAGTACCGTGACCAGAAATGCTATCTGGAAAACAAACTACAGAGCAGAACTATGCATTTTGGTGCTCAGAACATCCTGGAAGAGGAGTAGCATACAACAAAATGTAAGAACAGGGGAACTGCATTAAGGGCTTGCCCCATTCAGTTCTGCACCAATAAAAGCCAAAATCAGAATGCGTGAAAATCAGATTTGCAGAAATTTGTCTGTTTCTAACAATTCCTTCTGCTCTGATGATTCAGAAAGAGGAAATGTATTGATGTTTACAAAAGTTCTCAAAAGGACATGGGTTTCAGGCAGATTAAAAAGCACACGACATGGCAGGGACTGCAGGCTCTGGGCTGTGCAAGGACTGAAGCTCTGCCCTCTGACAGTTCAGCCCCACCTCTGGGATTTTACCAGGTGCTACCCACTCATTTCTATACCCTTAAGGACTAGTAGCATGCCATATTTACAAACAAGGCCAGAGGATGCTGAATTGCACACTATATTCTCAATCTTGCAGGCACGCAAGAACAGGCTAAAGGAGGAAAAACTGGTTTCTCATTCTCCGGGGGGCGGGGGGGCTCTTTTCAGTTTCTGCACCCCCCACTCTTCCATGGCTCACCTCAGGGCCCTGCTCAGCTTGTCATAGTTCATTTGAGGCTTGCATTTCCGCACCCCCCACAGCCGGGCCACCTCGTCTGGATCCTTGATGACAAACTCCCCGTAGTCCCCCTGCCAGGCAATGACATCATGGTATTCCTCTTTCCGTAGCAGCTCCAGGATAAAATGCCACAGCTGGATTTGCCGCGAGCCAGGACTTGACTCGGGCTTGTAGGCCCAGTCTGGGAAGGCGAAGCCTGGCAAACAGAGGAACAGAGTTAGCCAGCTATGGATAAAGGCAGGGGAAAGAATGCAAAGGAACTTTGTTTTAATAATGAAACATAGTTGGAACAAAGCGCCTGCCATTTCCCATACTCGGACCGGTTTCCTGCATCCCACTGGAACATGTTGGCAGAAAGGCTCAGTGGTTAAACCAAGGCAGCACTGCAGCGGCAAGACCGCCGCAGCTCCTTTCTCCGTCTCACCCCACCTCCGTCCAGGATGCAAGCATGAGGGCGCGTGGATTCCCCCTCCCCAATGCACACATTCACTCCCGGCGTGCACAGGGAGGGAAAACAGGAAACCGGCTGCTGCCGCCGTCGCCGCCTCTCCCCTTGTGCAGCCAGGAGGCTGGGAGGCTGGCCAAGCCGCCTTGCGACTTCCAGGCTGGGTCCCAACCAGATCCTCCTCGGAGCGTGGGTGGGAGGGAGGGAGGGAGGAAAGAACCTAGCCTGCCTCTTGATCTTGGCCTCCCTACCTGGAGGAAAAGAGCCGAGAGCTGGCAGCCTCCCTCCCCGACTTGCAGGAACCCTGCCCATGGGACACAGACCTGGACGGACGGACACCTTTCATGCCTCTCCAGTGCCAAAACATTCCCGGAGTCACAGACGCATGAGCAAGGGAGCTGGGGGGCGGGGGCGGGAAGAGGAGAGCAAGTGAGGATCTGAGCCTCGCGGCGCAAGCACTCTGGGAAAAAAATCAGCCCCATTATGGCTCATCGATATGTTGGAAAGCGGGGGGGGGGTCTTTGTGCCATGTTCTCACTGGGCAGGCGGGGGGACATGGTTAGCGGCTGAGGTCAGCAAGTCCCAGACAAGGGGCCCTTTTTTTCCAGCAGCCTAGCCCAACGCCCGAGCATTCCTGGGGCGGGAGGGTGCGGGGGGGAGATGCAGCGGCCACCAGACCCGCTCCTTCCCTTAGCAGCACTCGGACTCGGAGAGCTGGGCCTGCGACGGTCACGGGGAGGTCCCCCTTGGCCCCCCAGGAGCCAAACCATGGGGCAAATGGGGGGGGGGAGCAAGGGAGGCAGAGGCCTGTGATCTTTTGCATGCAACCCAGGCCTGTTCTCCTGCATCCTGCTTCCTTCGCCCCGGACTAAATCCCTGTTCACCCCCCCCCCTTTGAGAGAGAGAGTTTCTGCTGCTTCCCCTGCCCCTCCATAAAAAGGAAGTCAGGCAGAGAGACAATGGGCTCCTTCCCAGCATGCCCTGCAGCAACGGGCCTGTCCCAGTGTCTGGTAAATGCAACGGCCTTTCCAGAGCACAGGATGGGATGGCAGAGGAGGCCCAATATATCTTTTCCAAAGAGGCAATGCTCTCCCCCAACACTCTTCCCTTCATCCACTTATATGTAGATGCCACCCTCCCACTGCAAAGATTAAAGCACCATCTACGACGCTGCTCCGTTCCAGCCTCACAACAGCCCTGCGAGGTAGGTTAGCCCAAGGCTGACCGGCCCGGGGCCACTTTGTGATGTTCATGACCAAGGGGGGCTTCAGGCCTGGGCCACCACAGCAACTCTTCCACGGCTGCCCCTCACATGCAGGCCAGCAGCTTTGCAACCCCCAAACAGACGCCGAGGCTGTACTGCCCCCGCAGAGCCCAGCATCTAAGTGGCAAAGGGGCACCCCCTATGGACTTGCCCCCTCGCCAGCCCCCCCACTCTCCCATCTCCTGAGCTGAAATTGCTGAGCTTATGCCCAACGCCTTGGGGGAGGGGGTGTCTGAGCTTTGTTGGGGGGGGGGAAGGGGTTGTGGTTTCCCATTTCCCAAACCCCAGGCGCTCTAAGCCCATCAATAATTCAGGGCCCTGTAATGGAGGCCGGGGACGCGGGCGCCGGCTCAAGGGCATCGGCGGAGACCGAGCCATTAGGATGGTGATGTCATCCGCAGAGGGGGCGGGAGGGCTCAAAAATGGCCCCACACACGCCAACCTTCCAGGTGCCTGCAGCCCTTGACCGCACGCCCCTCCCCACGCCAATCATCCACCCAAGGCGGCCGCGCAGGGCCAAAGTGCACCCCAGCCGGTGAAGAGGTGCGCACTGCCACACAAAAGGAACTGAGCATCCTTCCCGCTGCCTTGCTCCGTGGCACAACAGGGCCTTCACAAGCAGAACCCCCCCCAAAGTACCAGTCTCCAAGCAACAGGCAACAGCAAGGGAGACAGAGGCTAAAAATAAACAGGAGGAAGAGCGAAGAGACAGCGTGAACCGGGCAGCACCCCAAGGAGGCGCAGCCAGCAGCACCCCGCATGGAGGTCCAGCGGCAGCCCAGGCCGCTGGGAGGCACCCCCGCCGCTTGGCACAAGGCTGGCCACACACATGGTGCCCAGCGAAGGCACACGCACAGAAATGACGGCCGTGCTCCCGCTCCAACCACAGCGGGCCACCCCTCTGTGCTGCAAGAGGGGGGCATGTGAAGTCTGGGGGGGGGGAGTTTTCGGCTTTCTGGAGCCGTCTTCCTGGAAACGAGGAGGCTGTGCATCGGGGCCCATCCTGCATTGCACAGAGTACCAAAGCACAGCGCCTGTGAAGGACTGCAGGGCAGCTGCGGCCTTGAGGAAGGGCAAATTTGGGCCGGGGGAGAACTTTCTTCCCTCGCCCATGTTCCACACACCCCATGCCTCGATCACTTGTTTTAACCCATCCCTGTTCCAGATTTTCCCCATCTGTACCCGAGTGGGTGGACACATCCCATCTCCCAGTTCCTGCAAGCTTGTGGCGGGGGGGCACAGAAAGGAAAACAAGCAAGCCCTGCTCCCCACTCTTCCCCCGGCTGCAGCATCTGATCTGAGTCAGCCCCACTCACACATGCGTGCGCGCACACGCACACACACAGGCCTGTTCTCACTAATTAGCAAGGCGGGAGGGGGAGGGGGAGGCTGTGACATCAGCCGCCTGCCGAGATCCAAACACAGCACACTGAATGGGCTACTGTTCTCAGGCTGGTGCTACCAGATACGCTGGTGTATTCTCCCCCTCCACCCCACCCAATGGAGTCCTCCCGGAGTATAACAGAAACAAGGGAGGAAAAAATGATTCCAAGACTCACATGACTATGAAATGGGCGGGGGGCATCCTTCCCCCCCCCCCGTGTAGCCCCCAGAACTTCTTTGCATACGCTTAAGTCAAAGGATTGCTATTCTACTCACTGTGTCATGCATTAAAATAGAAGCAGATATGGGAAATGTCACAGATGCTCCGAGTCTCAGTGCGAAGGCCCCACCTGCTTTTTAAGGACATGCGTCCACTCCAGATGTGTATACATGGGATTCCAAGACTAAAATGATGTGTGTTATGACATAAAGTGCTTGCACTTCGTAAGGCGTGGACCAGTCCCCAGTGATGCTCGACAAAACACTAGGCGCTGCTTAAAAGTCTCTCCGCAGAATAGATCTGCCAAAGAAATACCCGTGCAAGGCCCTCACCTCACCTTTGCACTTCAGACTCCATAGGTAGCTTACAGTTCAGAGGTGAGGAGAAAATTAGGGTTGTCCATCAGCCCCTCTGTACAGGGCAACTGTGTAAGAAAGCGGATGAGACCTCAAGTTGGTAGGGCTTATCTTGGAACATGAAGCGGGTGGGAATATTGCAAGCATTCAGTGAAAGGTACAAACCCGTTCTATTCCTAACAAAATGTAGGGACTGAGGAGGGCAAACCCACTGCCCCAAGGGGTTATTGCTACAGAACAGGGAAGAGAATGAGCTTGTGAGAGGGCGAGCTCTTGGAATTCCCCCCTCACCTGTTCCATCTCCCAATGTTTAGATTGTCGCCAAGTAACACCCTCCTATGAAGACCTCAGACACATTTCTGTCCAGGCAAGCCGGGGAAACTGGGTGGAGGAGAAGAGAAAGGAAAGATGGCACTTCACTGCCCCACTCCTCAAAGAAAAGATCCTCTTATCCGTCCACCCACTCATCTCGGCTTCTCCACACTGATCTGGCTGCAGCGATTTAATCTTCCGGGAAAGGGTCTGATGCAGCTCACCCCCCTCCATGAAAAAATTACGTACACACACTATCTCAGCCCCTTTTTGGCTGGAAAAGTTCTCGACAACGCAAACTAGGAACTTCGCAATCCACCGGCCTTATCATCTAAAACCCACTGTGCCACCATGACTTCAAGGGGCACGCAAAGTCTCTGGTGCAGGATTCCTCCTGCCGCCACAAGAATCACACCCCTTCATCCAAGGAGGCAGCAGCAGAGTTCAACAAGAACTTCGAGCGCCCCCCCCCCCCCAGGACCGCTGCCACCCTGTCTCCACCGACTCAGGCAGCTTGTGTGCCAGCCCAGAGAGGGAGGCAGAAAAACCACCGTCTGTTGGCTGGCGCTGCCCCCAGTTTGGCATGAACCAGCAGCAGCCCAGCGCCAAAGGGTGGAGAGGGAGGGGAAGACCAGACACCGACAGTCCCTACCACACAAATCATGACAGGTCTGTACCACCCACGCGCCCCAAGCCATATCCTCTTCCAGGCCCCATCAGGAGCATGTGTGTGATCCAGCCTCCACACCAGTCTTTTATGGGCCACAGATGCCTCGCCAGCCCAACGCTGCTTTCCTCCACCCCCCACCCCCCCAATGCATTGCCAGAGCCTTCCTGACAAGACTGAAGACTACCCATCACACACCTCCACCACGGGAGGGGGCCCAGCAGCTTGGGTTCCATGCTAGGTGGGGAGGAATCACCTCCCACCCTCACCGCATGCCCCAGCTGAGGGTCTGGGAGTAATAAGGGGCCTTGCTTGGTGAGAGGCCGAGTACGCGTACAATGCATGGAGTGTTTGCAACCCAGCTCTGGCTTCCAACTTTTTGCAGGAGGTTCCTCCAGCCAAGCCCGGCCCCCCATGCCCCCCTTTGCATTTTCCACTGCTTCCTAAGAGAGGAGTGGGGGGAGGGAGGGAGTGCGTGTATGTCTGGGGGCTAAAAGTGGTCCTACTTGCCAGAGTTTAGTATTTTTTTCTAATTTCAAAGCTCAGCTC